GGAAGAGAAGTTGGGAAGAATGTGGTTTCACTATAGATTTCGAAGTACATATAGCAAAGGAAACAAATGAAGAGGTGCACCACCTACAAATTTAATAACTACACTACAGCTAGAACTACATACAGTTATAATAAACATAATTCTGACAATAGCTAGCCATGTACTCTAAGGGGTACATTCCCTTATTCAAATACATTCCCAACCGCGCGGCGCGAACAGTTACGAAACTGTTCCCGCCGAAGCCATCCTGCCTGCAGCTGCCTGATGCTGTCTGCTCCGACGGTTCAGATGCGTCCCAACTGTCTGACGCTTCGAGTCGTTTCCAACCGTCTGACGCTTCGCGTTCACGATACTGCGTGCTTCTCTTTGCTGCGGTGAGGAGTGCACAGTAATATTCAAGTATTAATATTCGTAACAACAGGCAGCTGCGCTTTCGAAATACGTAATTTTAAAGAACACTTCGTGTGTTTAAAAATTATCATTTTTGTGTACCTCCATAGATATAAAAGACACAGGTAGCAATTAGATTTCCCACAGTTGGAGCTGTAAGGATTTACAGAATCCTTACTGAGGCACTCGTTAGCGAGGCCATCCCGAGGGTCACGCGACGGACCTGTCCTTCCTATTCCGTAGCACCGAACCACTCCCGAGTCGCCTCCGCTCCAATCGCAACCATCACCGAGCCATCCTCGCCCAACCTCTCCGCCTAGCTAGGACTTCCCCTATTTAGTCGTGCCTTTCTCATTGTATCGTCATTGACTACTCATTTTATTATCGTTATTCGATATTCTGCGCACTCTGCAAGTTCATTCATAACATCTGGTATCAGAGCTACTTTCCTAGCTCACCCCGCTTTTTAGAGTGTAGTACCCCTCGGGGGGGGGGGGACGAGGAAGGATGTCTTGGGGTCCAGGAGTTGCGTAGGCCGGCCAGGAGAACGAGTTAGTTGCTCCTCGCAGCCATGGTTTTACGGGTACTCCTTCGGCACCGCCAGATCCTTGCCTCGAACGGTCGCGATCGACCGTGGCCTCCCTCCCCCCGGGCAACGGGCAGCTGTAGCTGTCGCGACGTTAATGTGAGTAAATTTCCGCTGCGATTTACCGACGATTTCGGAAGTTTTGTGTGGCAGCTGGCGTCAGCGGACCTGCGTCGGCACCTGCACGAAATTCGCGGAGTCGTCAACGTGTGTGGCAGTTGACGCCGTCGGACCTGGGTCAACAGCTGCGCGACAACTTCGGAGTTCGTCTGAAGGGGCAAGTTACGACGGTGGCTCGTCGTCATTTTGCGCGCGTGACTCACGGAGTGTGGCTCGGCAGCTGGCGACAAGGAACGTGCGTCACTGTGGGCGACATTTTCGGAGCTTCTGTTGAAGAAAAAGTCGGCTGGGGAACTCGCCAGGCGCAAATGGAGTTTGCGTCCGAAAATGTCGGTGGCGAGGAGAGACGACACAAGACTGCCCGACTTAGCGGGAGTCAACTGCCGTCCCGCCCGACCTGTTAAGTGCGGCGGCTTTTACTGCATTGGCGGGCGCGTCATCGAAGATTTCGGCAGGAGTGCATGTGGACAGACGGGAACTTCAGACCCGCCGACACTTACGGGTTGCAACAGAAAACGGAGTGGCTAAATCGCACTCAGGAGGAGTGGGACGCAGGCGGCGAGGGCAATTCGGGCCCATACACCCCGAAGAACACTCGGATGACGCTGCGTGCCTGGTACTGTTGACAGCTGGCCGACAATTTCGAGAGTGGATTCACAGTAAGGAAGTCATTTTCGGGGACAGCCTCAACAGCCCACGATTAAACGGCGTTCAAGGTACCACGCCGACAATTACGGAGGAGAGTGGTACAGGCCGCCGGGACACACGAGAAGAAACTACCCGACGGCTAAGCGAGGGTTGAAGAACGGCGCGAAGGGCAGGTTAAAAGCCGGTGTGAACGATCTGTGACCTTCCGTCGCCTGAACCTCACCATCCCCACCAAGTTTTAGTTCTGACTCATGCAGTCAACCTACTTGGCCGAATAACGGGGGTGAACACGGGCCTACCCTGTGCTGGTTAAAGGTACCTGGATTGGTGCTCGTTCAACAGCTATACAGAAAAAACAAAACAGGTGGAGTTGCGGCACTGTTCTGCTCCGACAAAAGCGGCCTGGGTGAAACAGCACGCGAAAAAATCGGGGCGCCGCATGACAACAAGGGTGCAGTTCGCTGGTTTCTACACGAGGTGATGACGCAGCGGCGAAGCGGGGACCGGGATGCTGTGGAGTTTAGTGGCGTGACGGTCGCGGTGGGCTGCAAAACGGTTGGGCGACTGTTCCTTTTAAATAAGGGTCCCCGACTCCGATAGTTTTTGCCCCTCCACCGTGGCTGGGTTTGCGCGGGCAACACCGACTATACCCCATCCGAAAAATGCGGACGCTGGGTGAACGGCGGGAAGCGGAATTGTCGGGGGGTGAAACGACCAAAAAACAAATTGTGAAGCTGCGGATATTTCTTCGCTTCTTGGAGTGCGGTTGAGCCGTTGGGGGACTTCGCCTGAAGGGCACTTATCGAAGTAGCCTGGCAAGAAACACAGCGGCAAGGAGACCTAGGACCCCCGGTGTTTAAACGCACACCTCGGGAAATTCTTCAGAAAAAAGGGAGCGTGGGAGCAGTCGTAGCTTCGGGAGCTTATCGACCGGCGACGGGCGATGCGGTGAAACATCTGCAAAGCGCTGGTGGGAGAGACGTGGGGTTTTGTTAAACAGCATCGGCGGGAGCAGTTTCGACTACGGAGTCAACGGCGTTGATGCCTCTAGGTTCCGTGAAATTCGGTCTCGGAATAACCCATGGCAGTTCCCGGTTCTCGATTGTACCCACATGCTGGGGTCGGGTAACCGACGGAAACTGATGGTGACCGAGTGGGCGGCTATAGCACGTCCGAGGTTTTCGGAGGCGAACTGCAACTGCAACTGCGGATTTACGGGGTCTGATTCGAGCGACAATTTCGGAGTGTTTACGTGGAGACTTACAGGTTTTACGGCAAGGAGCGCCGACAATTTCGGAGGAGCATTCGGCGTTCGGTTAAACGCGCGCAACAATTACGTGGGGCAACACCGCGAGAACTACACGGAGTTTTCAGGGGTACGAACGACTTACGACGAACTGAAGAAGGCGGCATCAACAGTGAATGGGTGGGAGAGACAGCTGCATTTTTTCATCCCTGCCCAGGAGCCCTCGGCGCACAACGACAAATGGCTCGGCGAGTCTGGACAAAACCGCTGGAGGTGCTGACATCATCTGACCCGAGATCGTGCTCGACATCAATTTCGGAGTGACATTCGATTTCGGTTACTGCTTCAACGAATTTCGCCGACGCTCGTATTTGACTTTACGATGAATCGCCTTCACCGACGACAATTTCGAACTACCCCTGATTTCACGGCCAGAGGATTTCAGGACGCTCCGTCCAACTCTACTAGCGACAAATCCATCCACTCGACCCGCCCACGACAACTCTACTGATTTCAAACACGTCAGGTGCTGCCAGCTGCATCTGCTGAAGATACTGCATGATTCTGGCGAATTGAAGACAAAAATGTTCAGTTCGAGTAACATGGATTTTCCGACGCGGTTTCCGGGCTACATATGCTGGCTCGCCCTTAGGCACTTTGCACCTGGTTTCGTCATCAAGTTTCGACACCGACGCAATCTCATCTGGTTTAACACTAGTTTCATTGGGACTTCACACCTGGTTTTGGTGGTTTTCTTCTCGGCGCAGCTGCGGGAAACATTTTGGTGTTTTTTCTTGGAGGGGAGGAGAAAGTGCTCGGCACTATTTCTTTCCTTGGCGTTTTCTCGGCTTTCTTCTTGACCTTTGTCAGGTTGCGTCAGCACGACGGACGATCGCGATTACACCGACAAGATCGACGGCTCCAGATTGAGCGCGATTGAATTTCGCGTCAGTCTGTTCCCTCCAAAATCGCATCTGCATCGACCGTCAGATTCGCACTTACTCGATCAACGGCCCACATTCCAACTTCTACTTCAATTTGGGTCAGTTCATCTTCGACCGTCAGATCGAAATTGGACTTCATCAACGGCCTACATTCCAACCTTTTCAAAATATTGTCCAAGGCATTTCAGCCGTCGGATTCAGCTGAAGGGGAGATCTACGGCATCCTTGCTAGTGTGGTGTCCGTTTTCATTACAGGACTGCCTTATTTAGAAGGTGGGAGAGTGTAAGGATTTACAGAATCCTTACTGAGGCACTCGTTAGCGAGGTCATCCCGAGGGTCACGCGATGAACCTGTCCTTCCTATTTCGTCGCACCGAACCACTCCCGAGTCGCCTCCGCTCCAATCGCAACCATCACCGAGCCATCCTCGCCCAACCTCTCCGCCTAGCTAGGACTTCCCCTATTTAGTCGTGCCTTTCTCATTGTATCGTCATTGACTACTCAGTTCATTCTCGTTATTCGATATTCTGCGCACTCTGCAAGTTCATTCATAACAGGAGCAATTCAACTGACAATGTATCGAAGGTTCCTCTTGAATCTAAGGTAGTGCTTGACAGCTATGCTAACATCAGAACATGGATGCCTTCAGCCGGGGATAGATAAGCTTCTCACAGCCTCTGAAGCTTAGTGGACAGGGTTTCTGTAGCGGATGACGTGTTGTTCCCTACCTGCTGATCGCCGTTCGATCGTGCGATCAATCCACGCTGGATTGACTATCGACGAACGTTAGCCCATTTGTGCCAGTGGCCGAAGTGCTGTGCGCCGCGTCCCGCGGTTCTGCCATCCATGATTTCTCCGCTCTATGGGGGGGATCAGTAGGTTACGCGGAGAGGAGACACTTCCTTACTTTCCCCATTCTCCCCATGTCTGCCCTCTTGTCCCTGTCAGACAAAGTCACCTTTGATTCCTTTGGATATTCTCCGTCACTTCAATATTCCTTCCTTCGTTATTCATCGGGTCGACGATCGAGTCAAGCGTCGGAAGCATTTTCGTCTAGCCGAGCGCGATGGCGACTGCTCGCATCGCCGTGCTGACGGCGGTGTTTTCGCGGAAGCTGAGCGCGCAGGTGGACAAGGCGGTGCCGTGCGACGTGCGCGACGCGCTGCTCGTCGACGCGCGCGTCCATGAGCAGGCAGCGCCGGACGACGCTGCCGCGTGCTCATCGCGCGCGCTGCACGTGAGCTCCAAAGCGGTGGCTCACCCTCGCGTGGTCCTGCCGCGGCCGTCGTCGTCCCTTGCGGCGGTCTGCAAGATGGACTCTCGCGCCATCGTGGCCACTCTTGGAACTCCCGCCGCTGGCGGCATGCGCGAGGCGCACCACGCCTTGCCGGCGAATGGAGCCGCTCACTTACCTCCCCCCAACGGCGTCGCGCCTCTCTCGCACGATTCAAGCGGCGCGTCGAGCAGGTTAGATCAGCGCGCGCGGTGGACGAAGCGGAAGAGCCGGCAGACGCCGCGGCAGGCGGCGTGGACGGCGGAGCAGGTGCGCGAGAGGGAGCGGCGGATCGTGGAGGAGGTGGCGCGCGTGCCGGAGGGGCGGAGCGTGGCGGCCGTGCTGGACGCGTGGGCGGGGCGCACGACGCGCGTGGAGATGTCGAGCGTTGTGAAGGAGCTCGGCGCGCAGCGCAAGGCGCGGCGGTCGCTGGAGGTGTTCGAGTGGATGGACGCGCAGCGCGGGCGGATGCGGCCCAACGGGCACACGTACACGCTCATGCTCGGCATCCTCGGCAGGTACGCCCGCGTCGCACCGCTGCCACGTCACAGATCTGCTCAGTACGCCGTGAGCAACCGTTTGGTCGCGCGAGGAAAGCGATGGCGGTGGCGCGGCCGGCGGGCACGGGCCTCCGCGCAGTGGTAGGGCGGCGGTAGATCACGCGGAGCTCTCGCTATCGCCGGTGGTGGAGCTGCGGGCATGAAACCTCCGCGGGGCACACCGCACGTAGGTGAGTTGCGCGGTCTTGCTGAATGGGGGGTTGCTGGTTAAAGGCAGACGTGGGCAGCATCACGCGCGCGTCTTGTGAAGGAATGAACCTAAGAGCTGAACGCGCGTAGATCTCAATGCGAGACTGACGCTGCTGAAAGGCAATCGCGGGGCAGTGAAAGTGTGATGCGAACGTGCGTAAAAAGGACTATTGGCGCGTGTACGCGCATGGCGTATCGTCATCACTCCTCTCCCCCGCCCGCCCACGGACTCCTTCCCTTTCCCCCTCTCCCGAACTCCCCCCCACCCGCTTTCCCCTTGGTTGCGTGCGGGGCGGCAGGGCGGGCATGGTGGAGGAGGCGGAGGTGCTGTTCGCGCGGTTCCGCGCGGCGGCGTTCCGCGACAAGGTGCACGGCTTCAACGCCATGCTGCACGCCTGGCTCTCGCACGGCCACCCGCAACGCGCCTGGACGCTCTTCCACCTCATGCAGCAGCAGCAGCAGCAGCAGCAACAAGAATTGGCCGCCAATGGCGGTGCCAGCGCGTCCGTCCCCACCGCCAGTCCGCTCGACTCCTCACCCCGCAAGCCCCCCACCCACGTCGCGTCAGATGCGTCCTCGCCTCCCGTCCCTCCCACTTCCCACTCGTCCTCTGCTCCATCCGCCGCCCGCGCCACCCCCGACCACTCGTCGCAGCCGTCGCAAGCGCCTGCTGCGCGCAGCGACGGCCGCGGCGACGGCGACGGCGATGGGGCCGGTGCGGCGAGCTGGGGTCCGCCGCCGGCGCCGGACGCGGTGACGTACAACACGATGCTGAGCGCGGGGCTGGCGGGCGCGGGCACGGCTGGCAGGGGGAGGGCCAAGGGGCGGGGGAGAGGCAAAGGCGCAGGCAGCAGGGGGGGAGGGGCCAGCAGCGGCGGAAGCGGCAGCAGCGCAGGGCGGCAGGCGCTGGCGCTGTACGGCGAGATGAAGGCGAGCGGCGTGCGCCCCACGGCGCGCACGTTCAACATCCTGGTCGCGCTGCTCGGCCACCACGGGCTCGTCGCGCAGGTGAGCCTCGTCGCGCAGGTGAGCCTCGTCGCCCAGGTGAGCCTCGTCGCCCAGGTGAGCCTCGTCGCCCAGGTGAGCCGCGTCGCCCAGGTGAGCCGCGTCGCCCAGACGGCCGCCCCTTGCTCGTTTCACTCACTCGCTTCCCTCCCCGCGCCCTTGCTCTTCGCACCCCTCTCCCTCCCCCCCGCGCCCTTGCTCTTCGCACCCCTCTCCCTCCCCCCCGCGCCCTTGCTCTTCGCACCCCTCTCCCTCCCCCCCGCGCCCTTGCTCTTCGCACCCCTCTCCCTCCCCCCCGCGCCCTTGCTCTTCGCACCCCTCTCCCTCCCCCCCGCGCCCTTGCTCTTCGCACCCCTCTCCCTCCCCCCCGCGCCCTTGCTCTTCGCACCCCTCTCCCTCCCCCCCACGCCCTTGCCCCTCACCACCCCTCATCCGTCGTGCTTGCGTTCCTGCTGGCTCTTCCTTGCCTGCTCACGCTGTTTCATGTGTGGTGCGCTGCGGTGCGGTGTGGTGTGGTGTGGGGCAGGCGGAGGGGGTGGTGGCGGAGATGAGGAGGGAGGGGGTGGAGGCTGATGCGCACACAGTGAGCGCGGTGATGACCATGTACACGCGCGCGGACCGCCCTGACGACGCCATCCGGGTATGCAGACGCCGTGCCATGCCCACCGCTCACACTGCACCTGCTCACTCCCCACGCTGCTCATTCACAACCCACCACGCTCACTCACACCCCCCGCGCCCACACCCCATGAGCCATCCGGGTACGCCCTTGGCTTGCCATGCCTAGCGCCCACACCCAACGCGCCCACACCCAACGCGCCCACACCCAACGCGCCCACACCCAACGCGCCCACACCCAACGCGCCCACACCCCACGCACCCACACCCAACGCGCCCACACCCAACGCGCCCACACCCAACGCGCCCACACCCCACGCGCCCACACCCAACGCGCCCACACCCAACGCACCCAGCCCATGCTCCGCCTCATGCTCGCGGCGCTGCTTGTGCACTGGTGTGCGTGCAACAGTAGCTTGTGTGGTGGTGAAGGGAGGGGCCAGTGCTGGCAGGGAGGAAGAGCACGGAGCCACTGCTGCTTCACCTGCCACCATGCACCCATGCCCATCGCTCTCAACCGCCTTCACCTTGTCCCTCGCTCACTGTCACTTGATTGAACCCCCCTACCCATGCCCTTCTCCCTCGGCTCCACCACCCCTCCCTACTGCCTGCATCGGGGCAGACGTACGAGAGGGCGGGGGCAGCGGGGGTGCGGCCCTCACAGGCCATGTTCACGGCGCTCATGGCGGCGCTCACAGCCGCCGGCCGCCCCGCAGACGCCGCCGCCGCCTTTGACGCCATGCTGCAGGCGGGCCTCACTGCTGACGTGGCGGCGTGCGGGGCGCTGCTGAGGGCGCTGGCGGAGGCGGGGGAGGCGGAGCGGGCGGAGGCGGAGCTGCAGGCCATGCCGGCGCGGCACGGCGTGCAGCCCAACGCCATCGCGTACTCCGCTGTCGTCATGGCCTACGGCAGGTGCGTGCCGTGCCGCACCCATGAGTCGCCTCCATATGGCACCTCTGTATCCCCCCCCCCCTCTTTGCCTACGCCTTAGCAGCCATACCACCCTCTCCCAGGTGCTGCCATCGCGCCTCCACTGCCTTGTTCTGCTTCACGCCTTTCCGCCTGTGGCTGAGAGCGCCTCACACGGTAGCCTCACAGGTGAGAGGGGTTGTGCTCAGCAGGTACGGCTGCAGGCTCAAGGCACGGCGTCCACCCACAGGGCGCCTGGCAGCTACCAGTGCACTGATGGGCCTCACTTAACGCTGTTCTATCTGGTGTGTGTGTGGCTGGTGTGCTTGCAGGCAGGGCATGTGGGAGGAGGCGGCACGGGTGTTTGAGGGGATGCTGAGTGCGGGGTGTGAGGCGGACCTGCAGGCGTTCAACATCCTCATGGCGGCCTACGGCCTGCAGGGCCTCTCCCTGCCCGCCGCGCAGCTCTTCCGGCGCCTGCAGGCGCATGGGCTGCGCCCCGACGCCGTGACGTACAACACGCTCATCCACGCCCTCTCCAAGGCCGGCCTGCCCGGCGCGGCCCTGCGTGCGCTGGAGCACATGCGGCAGGGCGGGTGCGAGCCCGACCACGTGACGCGTTGCCTGGTGGCGCGCATCCTGCACGAGGCCGGTCGCCACACCGACGCCGAACACATGCTGCGCCCGCCCCCCCCACCCCTTGCTGTGCCCTCGCAGCGGTAGCTCTGCATGCATGCACGCTCAAACGTGTTCTGGCCAATGGCAGTTGTGCCAGTGACAAGGCGGGCTGAGTAACACTTGGTTTATTTGAATGGAACTTACAGTACCTACGGTACCTTATTGAGCTGACAACCATAATGGTACCGTTTGGCCCCGGATATAAGCGCATATGCGCTTATAATAAGTAATGATTTTTTAGGGGTGGCGCTTGTAATTGAGGAACGGCCATAAGCGCCGGCGCTTATAAAATGTCAAAATCCAATTTTGGTTTTCGAAGTATTAAATTGAAGCCCACAATAAGGCGAACACAACTGTGAACGTTGCGCATGGGATCGTGCATGGAATTCCGGCGAAAACTGCCGCGACTCGATTTCCCACCGCACAGAACCTGTCCTGGAGCAACGCACCTGCCAGCGATGACGTGCATCCTGGCGTGCGGCCCAATAGGGTTTACATGCGCTGCCAGGGTGCCACATTTCACCCGAACTTTCGAGAAGGGGGTGGCATATTCCTGCCAGCGCAGCAGATACGTGCCGCGATTCCCTCCTCTGCGGGTTTAGGCAGGGGGGGATCTGACTATGCCTGAAGAGGAACTCGAGCCGCACACCAGAAGGGGTCCCCTCCAAACCCTCATTTCTTCGCCTTCTCTTTCACTTTTTTCATTCAGATTCTTGGTCTCGCCCGCCATGCTGCGGAAGCCATGGCGGAATTCGCTGGCACTCATTTCTTGTTCAAAAAGAAGCCCGCCCGTAGGCCCGCCTTCGTAGTCGACGCCGACGGATGGTACTCCCGTGTCCCACCTGAACCACCAGAGCCACCACAGCCTCCATCGCCTCCTGCGCCGCCTGCTCCTCGTGCTCCTCCTTTGCCGCCTGCGCCTCCTGCTCCTCCTGTTCCTCCGTCTCCTCCGATTCTGGGATGTCCTCACAACACAGGGGATCCGCCCGTGCTCACGCTCCTGCTCCCGACTGCGTTCGACGAGTGGCTGGAGGAACCGGAAAGCAACAAGGCCCAAGATGTTGAGGTACCCGGCGCACCTTACCCTGGACCACGTTGGGGCCGGCCCGATGATTGCACCACGTGGGACGAATCTGCACTCGGAGCTGACGACGACGTGGCTGAGGACGAGGAACCGAGCCGTGCTGACGGCGACGAGGAAGCGAGCCGTGATGACGGCGACGAGGCTGAGGAAGGTGGCGCGCAGGGCGGCACCGCTGAGGATGTGTTTCCTGAGGGCGTACCTGGTGGCGACGACGATGACGGTGTCGAGTACTGGTCACGTGACAGGCTCCCCGAGGAACTGCCGATACCTTCCTTTCCACCAGCTAACCGCAAGCGACCCCACCCGTCTAACCAGAACCGTGATGCCCGCCCCCCCTCTCCCAGGCACAAGATCAGCGATCACAAGCGCAAAGGCTACACCGCTGCGGAGAAGTTGAAGTACGTCGCGATGCTGGATGTGGCGAAGTCGGTGCGCGCACTAGCTCGGGAGTGTGGGATTCACCGGAAGTGTCTCGCCAACTGGAAGGTGGCAGCGGGGTTTCTCAAAGAAGCACACTCCGGGCGGAAGCGCATGCACGGTCGCGGGCGGGCCTCGTGGTACCGCCCCATGGAGTTGAAGGTGTACGAGCGGCTCCTGGACTGGCGCCGCAAAGGAACCGCCGTGTCGGTCGGCCGTCTGCGGGAGTGGTCGAGGGAGTTCATGAAGATCCTCTACCCGGACGTCAAGTGGAGCGGGAGTCAGAGATAGTCGGAGCGGTTTCGGAAGCGGTGGAATCTGAGCGTCCGCATGAAGACGCGGGTTGCTCAGAAAACAGCCGCTCGTAAGATTACGCCCCTTGCTTTTATGTCTAAGTTTCAAATTCACTTACTAACCTGCCGTCTATCCCGCCCGCTTTCCCCCGTCTCACAGATCTTGCGGAGCAGTGCCAGAAATTCTGGCGCTTTGTCCGACACATGCGTCGCGCGCGCGGCATCGAGCCATGCTGGATCCTCAACGCTGACCAGACGCCGCTCTGGCTGGAGATGCCCGCCACCACGACCGTGGATCAGACGGGCGTACGGTCGGTGCCCATCCGGAGTGCAGGTTACCAGAAGGAGCGTGTGACCGTGATGCTGGCGTGCACGGCGGACGGGGCGAAGCTCAAGCCGTGGGTCTTTTTCAAGCGGAAGACGCTGCCGAAGGGCAACTTTCCTCCTGGTAATAAGTAGCAACTGCCGCTCTCTTACCGTATCGTTTCTCATGCCGCGCTAACAGTTTAAGTGCCACTTCTGTATGCAGATGTGGTCGTGGCTTGCCACGAGAACGGGTGGATGAACGCAGAAGGCGTCATCCGCTGGCTTGACGAGTGTGTCAAGCCCTTCTTGCAGCCCCGATTTGGCAGGTGTGCGAAGAGCTCTATGCTCGTGTTGGATTCCTACCGCGGCCACCTTACCGAGGGGGTGAAGGAGAAGCTCCGCGAGATCAACTGCGTGCCTGCTGTCATCCCGTCGGGTTGTACGGGTGAGGTTCAGCCACTCGACGTCTCCATCAACAAGAGCTTCAAAGCATCTGTTCGTCAGCAGTACCAGAAGTGGTTTCAGGAGGAGGGCCAAGAGCAACTGACACCTGCAGGTACGTTGTTTCCGTTAAACATGGCTTTCCGTTAAACATGTTTATCCCCCTTTCACCCTTGGTCACTAACATGGCTTTCCCGGGTGTCTCTGTTGCGGTGCAAGGAATCTGAAGAAGCCCCCCCCAGAAGTGGTCCTTCGATGGATTTCACAAGCCTGGAAAGCAGTACCCTCCGACCTCGTCAAGCGCGCCTTCCTCACCTGCGGCATTAGCAACGCACTTGACGGCAGTGAGGACCACCTTGCCATGGCGCACAGGCGGAGCCAACTGACGGCGGAAGTGGATGTAGACGACGGCATCATCGCCGACGGATTTTTCGGCAACAACTGCCAGGAGCCCGAGTCTGACGAGGAGTAGGTAGTTCCGGTAGAATAGCAGATTAAGTCTAAAATTGTGTACCTAGGTAGAATACCGTAGCAGATTAAGTCTAAAATTGTGTATAACTTGTAGTATTCGTTGAAGCGAACGATGTTATAGTTGTTTTCTTTTGTTGTGGTGATAAAAAAAGTGTTAATATTGAGGGTGGCGCTTATAATAAGGAAGGGTACAAAAGGGGTGGCGCTTATAATCGAGGATCGGCCATAAGCGCCATGCTCCAGATAGAAGCGCCGGCGCCTGTAATAGGCCGGCGCCTATATCCGGGGCCATACGGTACATGTCAGTCAACAAGGTTGGAAGCACCCATACAACAAGCCCTTATTTGTCCTAGCTGGCAGAACTGGTTTGGTGCCAAACATTCCCCATCAGTATGATATGATCTAGATTGTAGAAGAAACCCTTATAAAACTCTCATAAAATGCACCCTCCCAAGTTCTGAACTCTCATAAAATGCACCCTCCCACTCTCTTGCAAGCATGGTAATAGGTCCCGTAATACCTCGGATAAAAGTCCCCCTCTCCCTTAAAGACCTTGTCTGTTATGAGTTGTAAAGGAGAGTGCGCAGGTAAACGAATAACGAGACTGTGGTTAACTGATCTGAGAATACAATGAAGGCACAGACTACCGTCATTGCCCGGATATAAGACATATATGTCTTATCTCGTACACGGGCAAAAATGCTTGAGTTATCTTGTTAACGGGATGGTTTAGGGTGTCTTATAATTCTCATAAATGGAAAAAATTTTAAGTTGACTGTAACACTTGCAAAGTGTGAAGAAAACACCCAGGGACCAGATTCATTGAAACAGGCCGACCTCGGTGGTGATGCAGCAAAGCTGCCACCGCTGGCAAGATTCCTCTGTGCTGGCAGCATCTAATGATGCTGCCAACGTCGTTTTGCTGCCAGCAGCGCATGGCAGCTTTCAGAACGCTGCTGGCAGGGCTCTTGCTAACTTTTAGGCCCGTCTGACGTTTTCCAAAAAAAAAAAAAAAACGTCTGGCCCTCATATGGAGGATTCCTGATGGTCTTTGCCTTAGACGGATTTTCTAAGTTAGTATGTCCGCTCAGACAGATTTTTACAAAATCAGACATTTATGTAACTATGTAGTCTACTCTACACACAGACTACACTCTATTTCTACAGATAACCATACAAAGAATACGAACTAGGATTCACTATCGCTATCATGAGAATAATCTTCCTCATCGTCCCCGTCTAGCTCTGAATCTGAAGCCATGTGCACTTTGCCGTGGCCTGCCCATCTCTGCCAGGGGCCCAACTCCTCCTCTAGCCTGGCTGCTTCTTCTGCAGCTGCTGCTTCACGAGCAGCAGCATCTGCTGCTTCACGAGCAGCAGCTGCTGTTGCTGCCGCCTGCTTCGCGGCCAGCATCGCAAGGGTCTTCTTCGTGCGCTTCACGGGCCTCTGCGCATGCACCATCACCACATCCTTGGCTGGACGCCTCCTCTTCGCGCCTCTCCACAGCTCCACAAGGGCGGGCCAGTCAGGTTCGTACTTCAGCATGGAGACGGTCATCAGGTCGCCCAGCTTCGCGTCGTTAAGATTGCCGCGTAGCCAGCTCTTGATGATGTTCTGGCGGGAGAAGCCCCGCTCGCACTCCACGGTGCTCAGGGGCAGCACTGCGACTGCCATCCAAAGGCGGACCAGGTTGGGGTAGGCAGTGCACCAGTCGGGGGAGCTGAGCATCTGCTTCAGGCCGTCTTGGAAGCTCAGCTCCTGCTGATGGGTTGACATGATGGTGGTGAAACTGCTGAGCTCCTTCTGTGCCCTCATCCAGTTGAATCCTGGTGGCAGGGTGCGAATCAGAAAGAGGTGTAATGTTAGACCGCGCTGGTGTTCATAAGCCACCAGGCTCAAAGAAATCAACGAGGCATATGGCGACACAAACAACATGTTGGACTCAATCAGGCACAACCGACATCGAAGACGTACCTGGCAGGGTGTCAGGGTCGGTCGGTTTTCGCTTAAACAGATTGCGGAGAGCCTCCAG